CCCGATCAGCTGTTCGGCGGGTCGGCCACCCCGGCCGCCGTCGAGTCCCCGCCCTCCGACGACGAAAGGCGAACGCGGGCGGTGGAGGCGAGACGGAGTGGCAGCCGCTGCTCGACCTGACGATTCTGGGAAGCTAGTCGACGAGGCGCAGGTGAGAGGTCGGGGTGCTTGCAATGGGCGGGTGCGCGTACAGCCGGAGAGCTGGCAGTGGGCGGGTGCGTGTAACGGACGGCTGGCTGTGGGCGGGTGCGGTGTAACGGAGGGCTGGCTGTGGGCGGGTGCGTGCAGCTGGCGGGTGTGTGTGTGTTTGTGCGGCGGAGGTCTGACAGCGGTGGTTGAAGGCTCGGCGCGGGAGTTATAGGTGCTCAGTCCGACGTCCGTTGTCGATTTATTTCGATTGCCTTTCGTTTGAATTGACTTTTTTAAGCTGCGTCGTAGTGGCCAGATTATTTAGGTGGAATATTATAGGTTCATATGGTGACCAATCCTATTCTGTGAGACACCCTAGATGTATGCCCCAAAGCTCCGCGAAGTGCTGAAGATAAAGATGACGGGGATCAAATTCCGGGGCGGAGGTGGCCAAAAGAAATGGCTTCTGCGATGGCGCTGTGCCATGACAACAAAGTATAACCAGGTGACTTGAAACAGCTGGCGGTTGTGCGAATCCCACAGTTGTCAAACTACACCGAAGTGTGTACTGATCGGTCAAAGTAGTCCACTGGGACGGGCTGTGCATTTGTATGTGATTATTTACTAGGCGTTTTTGTTTACCAACAGGTGCGTCCGTTTTTTATGCCGGGCTATACACGATTTACACTGCTTGGAAATTTATCAAGACGTACCGAAGAAGACGTTTTCTCATTTTTATCCACTCAATTAGCTATTTGTTTCTTTGAACCACTATCGTCGCTGCTTTAGCTACTACGGCGAAATATCTGTACGCGATCACACGGACTATGTGCGAGCTGTAAGGAGGTGATCTTGTGGATACGGAGCCATGCTGTTCTCCATAGCAACGAACTTGCGGGACGCCGCTGCTAAGCTGAGCAGGCGGCGAATGCAGTTTTCCCGCTTCTGCTTCAGACTTAAAATGTATGGTATCCACACATGTTGGTGATGTGTGGTAGCGGAGGTAGAATGCTGATTCCATCAGGTTTAGCGAGGTCAAACCCGCCATAGCTGAGTGGACATTTAGCCATATGAAGTACCGCCCCGGGGAGGTGGCGCTCTGCCGGCTCCGCCTTGGTCATGGCTACCAAACACAGACACACGCCATCCCTTGGGAGATGACCCACCATTGTGCTCTCGATGCGGCGGTGGGCCGACCACTGCTCGCGTCCTCACGTGGCGCCATGTTGACGCCAAAAGGGACCGATTTATGCCACCCCCACCGGTTCCACAGCTTCTTGGTGAGCAGCCTTCCGCGGACACCTCCTCCATTTCATCATTAAAAAATCCTTAAGACTCCAGTTTGTGTACGACCGACGCGACCAGGCTAGCGAAATGCTGGAGTTCTAAGTTTGCGCCTCATCAGTGCTACGGGCTCGTAGCTGTGCTTTGGTGCCATACTTCAACCGACAGGCTGTCTGTAATAAATTGCAGAGCTATGTGCAAATAACCAACGTAATGGATGCACTAGGACACCCTACCACAAATCTGTGATAAATTGCCGAGCTATGCGCAAATAACCAACGTAATTGATGCGCGAGGGCATCCTACGACAAATCGACGGGGGTATCACGCCCTAATATTTGTATTGTAATGAAAATTCTTTCAAGGGGCCGTCTTACTCCCTGAATATCCCTGTACTGTTATCCCTGTACTGACGGGTCAGAACAATGGTTGAAAAGCTAAGGTCTGGGCATTTTTATTAGGCCAGCGAACAAAGGCATGTTTACGGGCCTATAACGCAGCGAATGATTATTTTAAATTATACGAAGTTACCGCAGAGTTTGCAATGAGGTGGTGCATATTTTGTCTGTTTCCAATTTTTTTTCACTTAATTTTTAAAACCGTAACAGCATGTTCAAAGGTCATAGTACAGATTTTGATCTTTGGACGGTGATGATGCTTTTACAAAATATTTTTCCCTAGAAGTGCTGATTATTTGTTTCAAACCAGGCATACGTGGTTGTTTTTGCGATAGTTTCAATGGTACTCAGTTGTAATATGTGTGGAGGATGTAATATTGCTGAAGCAAAAGACATTGTCGTCAAGCATGTCATTGGATGAGAGGGTGTATCACTTGGCCTTTTTTTCATGATATAATGGTACAAAACCGTCGGGCTGGGAGGGGGCTCCCCGCAAACCATAACCAGAAATCTAGAATCTCAGCCATGACCATAAAAATCCATTATCACAAATCTCATTGTGATAAGATGCAAGTTAGCAAGTAGAAATCCAGTCAAGCAAAAAAGTGCGAGCATTCACGTTCCTTGTCTCCGCAGAGCGCCCGGCTGTGTGAGCATTACACTGTCATGGAGCTGGAAGTTTTCAAACACATTCTTGCACAACTCTTGAGTTATAAGGCTGTGTGCGATGCTGCTGTGGATGTTATTGTGGTTATGTGTCTTTGTAGTATTTTTATTAGAGGTGCATTTTATACGTATCCAAGTAACGATAGGAATCTTTGTCTTTGTACTAAAAGAAGCTTTCAAGATAGCGGTGCATAACTTTCATCCTTTAAAACTCAAAACTTATTTCTTACGCCCTTTAAATTTCTCCGATGATCAGTTAAGTTATCGAAACGTTGGAATATACGGATATCGACAAGTGCATGAGTGATTTGTACCAACAATATTTTATCTTAACGATGTTGCTCAGTCAAAATCTCAGAACCTCGAACAATGCATCAAGAAACTTGTCAGCGCGTAATTCGTAGGAGTTTTTAAAAATCATGCATGCAGGAATATATATATATATATATATATATATATATATATATATATATTAGTCCTCTTGCGCGTTGCTTGACTGTTCGAATGAAATTCTTCGTTATTTTCGGCAAGTGTTTGCATGGGTTTTGTGATTTGTCCCGATATTCGGATGTATAATCTGGTAACTGGTGGTTCATCTTGGTTATGTCTCGTAGAGCATGCCCCGTAGGTCGCGATGCTCCAGTGTTTTCCATCCGATTGTCTTGTGTTGCCTGGAGAATGGGGAATGAATGTCCTTAAAACCTCCGGTAGTCACCGGGCGATCAGGAGTGCCCCTCCCAGTATCCCAGCGACACACTTAACCTTATGTTAGCACCAGAAATAATAAACGCAATGTAAACGTGAGTATCCATGTTCTGATATATTCACTGCGGTTGGGCCGATCCCGTATAATCGAGAAGAATGCTGTTCCTCGCGTTGGAAGTGGTGAACTCTTGCATCCATTTATGACGCCGTTCCAGGCCGGCGATGACGTCACATCGGAGAGCAGCAGCAGACGGCCAGCGCGGCGAACCTCCAGCAGCGTGCAGTGCAGCTTCTGTGGCAAAATGTGCTGCAACCGCCAGACACTGAAGGTGGCAACGCCGCGTCGCTGTCGGTCGTCGGTGCCGATGCCGGCCCGAGTATTTGTCACAGTGGAGCGATAGATTCTTGCCACTACCGCGAGCTTTACGCCGGTCGCTGAACAGTTATTTACACATGGTCAGTGCACGGTCGAGCCTGGTGAATGAAAGGTGCCTGCCTCTGGTCTTGGAACGCGACTTATGTCCTTCCTCCTTGCATCTTGTGCCTAAGCCGACCGTGGGAGGCATTGCTGATCAATGTAATGATTATTGCCATAGGTGCCTGCATCAACGGTCGGCAAGCGATGTGATGATTGCCGTCATAACTCCACGTATCGATGGTCTGGCGTCATAACTCCACGTATCGATGGTCTGGCGTCATAACTCCACGTATCGATGGTCGTATAATGGGTGTTATTTTTGTAAATCATTAAACACTATAAACAAATGTGATGCTTAATGGACACGTTACACTGACAGGTGAGATAACGCTGAAAGAACAGGTTGTGTGTTAGTCCAAGCAGAAGAAGTCAAGCGCTCAAAGCGATTGACTTTTTGTGTTTGTCTGATTTGTTTTCTCCTACAACCACAGACTGTTTATTTGCTTAACAGTTATACGAGTCTAGGCGCCAGCTACGATGAGTATTTACAAGTAACGCCCCCTCCCCTCCTGAAAGCTCGCCCCAGGCGTGTGCCAGCGCCTCCGACACCGGTCGGCGCCAGTGGCGCTCGGCGCGAGGTTCACACTGACCCGAGCCGCCTCCCGCCACCAGGTGCACGCGCGCGTCCACACGGATGAGCGGCCGTTCGCCTGTCCCGCCCCCGACTGTGGCAAGGCCTTCCGGCAGCGCGTCCACCTGCGCCGCCACGTGCGCTGCCACGATACCGTGCGTCACTTCAGCTGCCCCGTCTGCGGTCGCTCGTGAGTGGCGCGTGCCGGGCCGGCGCCAGTGTGCGCTGAGTGCGCCATGCGGCGCGGTGACGTTTACAACGGCCTTGGGTGCGGCCCTCTGGCAACCATGTCGGCGATTCTAGACATGGAGTTATAAAAGTAAAACGTTTGGTTGAACAGTTAACGTGCTTTGACTGATGCACCCATTCGCCTGGGTGCTATCTGACCGAGGTCTGACCGCGGCAGGTTCAAGTTCGAGTCGAATCTGCAGCGCCACAAGGAACTGCACGACAAGGGCGGCGGCCCCCTGCGGCCGCGCCGCTACCGCGACAAACAAGGGTATCCTCTGCAACCTCTGTGGCAAGGTGAGACTCCAACGACGACGGAAAGATCTCCTGCAACTGCAGTGCAGTCGCCCCGCCGGATATGGCTCGCCTTTCTCGCCTGCGCCTCTTGTGAAGACTGGGCCGCGCGCTGGCCCCGATATCGTGACCGAGCTGCGGGCGGTCGCCGCGATCCGCGGCCAGTGCCGGTGGGTGTGACTGCCCCAGCTCCGGTCGGGTTTGTCGTCCCGTTTCTGAGATCCACCGCCTTCTGTCCTCCCCGCAGAAGTTCGTCTCGCCAGCGGCCTTCGAGAACCACGTGCGCGTGCACACCAACCACCGACCGTTCGTGTGCGGCGTCTGCCAGAAGGGTTTCAAGCAGAAGTCGCACCTCACCGAGCATGAGCGCATTCACTCAGGCCAGAAGCCGTTTAAGTGCGTGCGCTGCGAGCTGACGTTCTACAACCGGAGCCGCTTCAAGCTGCACCAGGTGACGGGGACGGCCGATGGGTGCCGCAGGAGCAGAGCGTTGAGTGGAATAGCCACCACTGCCCGACGCTGTAGTTTGTGTGTTTGGATATTTTGCCACGATGCGTGCGACTGATAAGTTTGCTACTGGTAATGCTCCACACGTGTATGAGGTTTTGAGCTGAGATAGCCATTTTGAAGATTGGCTATATTTAGATAACGTTTTTCATCCAATGCAGTTTACAGCTATGTCCTTTTAAACCCTTGTCCTGCTTTACAGTTTTTATAACGTACACTGATAGGGGTTTACTGCGACTTTCCTGGTGTTTCCAAACTAAAATAGATTGATACTAGCTTAACATAGTACGGGATTGGCCTCATGAGAACTCTCGTTAGCGTAACATAGCACTGGATTGACCTCAATGAAAACTCCCGCTTGTTAATATTTTTATGCGGACAGGTAAAAAGTTGACCTAATCATGCCAGGTAAATGGTTACGTCTTCCATAAAATCGCAGTTTTTCATCTTCGCATCACGCATACGTGGCCATGGTTTGTGACGACACGAAGTCTACTCGGGCGCGTTTCTTTTCCAATTTTTAGTTCAGTGGTGTATATCTGCATGTGCTTGGAGCGTATATTTATGGTATTTGGCCCCGTTGATACAATGTCGGCCCGCCGCACGACTACTCAGCATCATTGGTTGCCGCCCGCCGCCCGCGCCGGCCGTAGATCGCCATACAGTGTTCCTTGAAAACAAAAAACGGCCGCTGCTCTGAAGCCAGAAAAGCTGGGAACCCGTTCTGGTGTCAAAATATGCGCGATGGAAGCCCCATGGGCTAACGAAAATGTGGACGCAGTTGCACAACATGCCGGAGGGGAATCCTGAAAAGTTGAGTGTTGAGGGGTTGCATCGACCCATCCCCCGTATCAGATCGGGGTTTAATCACATTTGGAACCAGTGTTTCACGGAGTTTTCGCTGTGAAGATACCACTTCCTGTGACCAATCTCAGGATTTGTCAGATTTAGGATCAAAGTTGTTGTAATCACAGGACTAGGTCGGTGTCATAATTCGCAGCAGGGTTTCAAAAACGGTGACACGTTTTGTCAAGCGTAAGTCGCCAGATTCCGCTTGTATGAGCCATATACGGAACGAAACGGACAGAAAAGTAATTACTTAATACGCCCACCAGAGGTGTCGATTTTTCAAAATGATTGAGGGACGAGAGTTGTGCATTTAAAGCCCATGTGCGTAGTCACAGAAATCACGTGTGGAAGGCTGCCAGTTTGCATCAGCTTCTTATATAGGTACCTGTTTTGTGAAGCTGAGGGAATGCAGTTGCGGCCTTCGCCTAGCGTATTAATAAGTAAAATGTGCGCATGATCTTAATGGCGGTGAAAGGCCCTCCCAAAAAATCGCCGGAGATGGACCATCCGTTAACGAGTGCGCAGTTTTCGTCGTTTTAATATGACGTTTTTCTTCTATAACAGGTAAAGATGCCAGAAGCTATTGCGGAAGGAATTCCATTGGAATTTTGAAGGGAATAAACTGAGGAAACTAGGTGTTAAAACGCCTGCATCAATGTAATGCCGGCGCTCTTCATTTTATATTGGCTTATTGGACTCCTTGTAAACCGTTGCATCTCAGAACCTCCAACAGAACTTTGATCTGGATTCTACCGAGATATTGATGCCCCCGTAAGTGTAGACTGTAAATCGAATGGATCAAAACGTGTTTTATCACGGCCAACCCATGTTTTTTCTGCAAATGTATAACATTCAGTCAGTCAATTGGCGAGAAAAAAGCGCAGAAATGTAAGAACATCACGAAGGGCTAAAACACGAGCACAAAACGGCATTTGGGCTCAGCAAACATACTGTTGCAAAGAACGTCACCTTTCGGCAAGTTGAAGTGCTTAAGTGAGTCGGCTCGTCCGCTACAGTGACAATTCTAGCAACTCTGACGTCATAAAAAGTTTCCATGACGTAATCAAACGATGACGTATTAGGAACATATTTACTAATTAGTGAATTTTATTTGTGTAGAGTCTTGTACACTTCAAAGCAAAACAATGGTTACTAGTGAGCTCGTTTCATTGTTTCATCATATCTGGCATTTACCCTCAATATCTTCCACATTTGAAGGAACGCTCACATCCCTCCAGAGTTCAATCGCCCGCTTTATGGTCCTGGTTTGCTTGGTAGCTACAGGAATGAGCTGTCTGTCTTGAATCCAACCTCGGGTAGAGCGGTTGGTACCTGCACTGTTGGTTGTTGGGTTCGATCGGCCAGACCATTATCATACATTAGCAGAGCGATCATTTCAAGTATAAGTCGCGTTGAACCAACACCTAACGAACGCGTTTTCAGGTGATGCACCTGAACGAAGATGTGCAGAATGGCGAGTCGCCCGAAGTGCTCGATCCGGAGCACAGGTTTCCGGTATGCACCATCTGCTCCAAAAGGTGAGCAGTCAGAATAGCTGCCCGTGCTAACGTGCCAAAGTGCGAAGGCCCCTTTCTTTGCATGAATTGTATTACTGATGTTCTGCACTCGCGTGTATGGACCATGGCACCTGCTGAACATACCATTTTTCTGCCTGTATCGTCCATCCGTGGAAATCTCCTCTGAACAGTTTTCTCGCCTTGGAGCGACTCCCTTGACTGGGTTTCCACAACTTTTCGACAATTCTTCTGCTTGGTAACATCGTTCGCCTCCCAGTTATGGGTGTCTCGACGACAGCCTCTCGTGTGCTCGGCTGTGCCAAGTCACCCTCCAGTTCCAGACGTGGTTGTTTTCGCGGACTGGCCGTGTTTCCCGCAACGGATAACTGTCGTCCGCCGGCCCCGGTCCCTGTCCCCTCCTCACCGAGAGGTGCCGTGTCCTGACGCGCCGCCTCCCGTCGCAAGGTTCATCAACGGATGACTGTCGTCCGCCGGCCCCGGTCCGTGTCCCCTTCTCACCGAGAGGTGCCGTGTCCTGACGCGCCGCCTCCCGTCGCTAGGTTCATCAACGGATAACTGTCGTCCGCCGGCCCTGGTCCGTGTCCCCTCCTCACCGAGAGGTGCCGTGTCCTTACGCGCCGCCTCCCGTCGCTAGGTTCATCAACGGATAACTGTCGTCCGCCGGCCCCGGCCCCCGTCCCCCCCTCACCGAGAGGTGCTGTGTCCTTACGCGCCGCCTCCCGTCGCTAGCTTCATCAACGGATAACCGTCGTCCGCCGGCCCCGGCCCCCGTCCCCTCCTCACCGAGAGGTGCCGTGTCCTGACGCGCCGCCTCCCGTCGCCAGGTTCATCAACGCCAGCAATCTGAGGCTGCACCAGCGACGGCACAGCAACGCCAAGCCGCACGCCTGCCACCTGTGCAGCTTCCGCTTCAAGATGGCCAAGAGCCTGGACAAGCACCTGGCCTCGCACCACAAGGAGGAGCAGCAGCGGCTGGAGGCCGGAGAGCAGCTGCAGCAGGAGCGGCAGCAGTCTCAGGTCAGTCGGAGAGCCTCACGGCCGGGCCCCTCGGCAGGTCACGTGGTCAGGCTCCTCAGCAGGTCAGATGGTCCGGTCAGTGGGACAGAGGCCGCTCGGGCAGGGTCTCACGGCCAGGCCCCTCAGCAGGTCATGCGGCCAGGCTCCTGAGCAGGTCAGACGGTCAGGTCATTCGGACAGGGCCGCTCTGGCAGGGTCCCACGGTCGGGCCCCTCGGCAGGTCACGTGGCCAGGCTCCTCAGCAGGTCACCATGCGTCCAGATCCCTGAGGAGGTCAGGATGGTCAGGTCTCGTAGTGAGTTGGGTGGTCCGGTCCCCCCGTCCCACCCCCCAGACCGTGTCACAGTTTCTGCTGCTTGTGTCGGGTGGCGTCTCCACCGGCGGCGTCGGCGGCGCGGCCGTCGTTTGGTGCGGCTGGGACCGCGCTGCGCCACGGGTCGGCGCCGAACGCCGCCTGACACCGCCCTCTTACGTGCAGGGTCTGCGGCCGGCCTGCCGGTCGCGGAGACGGGCGCCGAGGCAGCCGTCATCATCCTCCGCGAGGAGGAGGACGGCAGCCTGACGTATGTGCCAGAGCTGCAGGACGCCAGCACCGACGGCAGGGTCGTCCAGGTCAGCTATGCTGAGCGCGCCGGCCGCCGGGGAATAAGAGTCGTTCGATTTGTGGCATGATGTGCGCAAGTTGTTATGCCATGCGCAGAAGGAAGTGAAACCGGTGCTGGGAGCAGAACGTCTTGCGACCGTCCGTGTTTTTGAGACCTCTGTGGTCGGAGACGTATATAAAATTTCGGAAAAGGGCGCTTAGAAATACACATTTTCGACGCGCCGTAGGCGCGTGAATCATCAAGCGTGGTATATAACGTATTTTTACGCGCCTGCTCCGTTTTTTTGTATACTAACGCACACATTCATACATGCAATAATTTGCATAGGTGTGAGCGAGGGGGGGGGGGCACCTACCTGCCCCCTTTTATCATACCCGTCGTGCGTAATGGCTGGCCGTCTCCGTCCTGCACCACATGGCTGAGAACTTTTGTGATGGTGCGGCTTTGGTTTTGGACTTTGACTCTCAACCAATTTATGTATCGATAGCAAACCCTTTCCGAGACGCTCGTCTTCGTCAATATTACGCCGCACACTGTTGACTGCAGTCACAAACTCCAAGAAATGCAATCAGTTATCCAAAAGGATCACCTTATGTCGGCAGACATGTCCTCACTAGTTCGGTTTGGAAATTAGAATTGTATGACACACAACAAATATAATTCAGAGCTGAAGAACAATCCGGATCGTGGGCGTTTGTGTCTTCATTCACCCCACCGGCAATCTCCGCAAGCACGTGCTCTCCCTCGCGCCGACCAATCCCGACTCTCCTACAGCGTTGGCGTCCTCCCCCCCCCCCCCCCCCCCCCAGCCCAGGTATGTACATCCTCTGGCACCGGACACGCCAGAGACCAGAGGATGCACACCATCTGACACCGGGACACGTGGGGCCCACGCGGATATCTTCATGCCAACGCACAGCGTTTAAGGGGACAATTTATGTAAAAGTTTGTGTTTATACCCGCGAATTTGAACAAGTTTGACCATGTTAATCTCGCAGACATTTGACACATTGCGAAAAACGGGAGGCTCGGTAACAGGAATAGCGTGATCAAATGACAATATCAGGACAAACATGAATGGGTAGAAATGGACGTGCAAAAGTGATGTGCTGAGGTTCGTGTCCGGTAAGTGCACTTGGCTACTCTAATAAGGACCATCTACGGGCGTTTTTGTTCATGGAGGGCTTCATAGCACGGATGAAAATTGTTTGTTCAAGTCTTCTTTACACGTACCCACGACGCTCGCCCCACATTTTCCCCGGATTATCTTGGGGGGATGCCAGTCAAATCAGTGATGGGCCCGAAAATGAAGCCTAACTGGGTTATTTATTTCCTTGCTGAATGCTGCACGCAGATGGTAAAAAACCCTCCCACGTACCGGACGAATGGACTTTGTAGGTAGCAGAACACAGAGTGTATATGATGGAATGCGTGCATTGTAGGTGGGGCAAGTGCTATCAAATCCAGAAGCACACGGGACACGCTTGCCCCTTTTGATGGGGCATTTTGGCCTGCGCAGTGCGGTATGCACCCAACGCTGTTTGAGGGACCCTGGATTGGTCCATGCCACTGCATTTATTCCGTTATTCTTGACGGTTGTTCGGGACCTGTGACGTAATTAATCGTTGATGTAAGGTAATGTGAGGTACACCACGATCTATTCTTGGCGAAAGACCGGCAATCAGACGCTGATTGATAGCGGGTACTTCTTGTGCTTTCATCCCACTTTTCGGACTTAACTAATTGTTGCATCAGACGCGTACTATTTGACTAGCAATACCAATTTTCTCGAAGTTCTAACAAGCTCAGAATTTCTATTTGGAGTAGCCGACCCTGCAGGAGAAATCGCATTTGACTCCCTGCTAACCACTATAAAGGCGTTACATTTCAGTAGCATTGTTCGTCCAAGGTATATGTTCTGTAATGTGTGCGATGCGCAAATGTGTCAGAAGGTTCGCGGAATCAATGCTAGCTCGAAGCTCGAAACACTGCTTAGGCAAAAATATATGCGAACATGAAGCTTTTATCGCACGAACTCAACGAAACGTTATACTTTGGCTTTCATTTTTCCCCTATGACGTTTACGACGGTGGCCCTTTTCGAAACGCACGTTGCCGGTGGGAATAGGAGTAGCAAAGCACATGATCTATGTGACGTAGTGGTTCAAATTTCAACCCACTAACTTCTCGGTAACAGGCCCTTGTCCTTTGAGCCAACCACAAACGTTCTTTTATTCGCATCAGTAGAGGTGCGCATGGCCTTTGGCATGATGACGGTGGTCGCGACGACAGGAAAGAAGCGCGATGCTGGTAAAAAGCGTTGAGAGCGTAATTTGTAGATAACGCAATTTTTTAGTTAGAAAACATGCTCCATATCATGACACTGTTTGATTTCGTCATCGCAATTTGCGCAACATTGATTGAGAGCCAATTGACGGTAATTATATATGAAAATCGTGCCCACGAACGCCGGGTATGAACGACTGGACATTTTTTTTTTTACATTGATCGCCACATGACACAATTTAAATGAAGTTGTCATGGCGTCATGGGGTCTGGATAATATTGAAATTGTCTTCACAAAATAGTCTGCACGTGTTTTCGGGCGTGTAGCTCAGAAACCAGGGGGGTTTAGGTTTAAAGAAGGACAGGGCTGTGAATTGCGCCGAATGGTGTTTAAGATGGCCATTTCAGTTCAAACCTTGTGTCCCCATGCAAATGTGGCACTCTCCTTGTAACTAAGATTGAAGCAAGCCATGGAATGACCGCTACGATCTGTGCCGCGGTGGATTACCCGCGGTATGGGTGAAAGCTAAACAGCTCGCCGAAGCATTTTTCTTTTTTTGTGCGTCTCGTATGCGCGCATGAATCATGTGAGGTCTTGCTGGAATGCGTTTCTTTTCCTAGTGATTGGTCACATGCGTGTTTTTTGGAGAGCGTGTCAAGAAAACGTCTATAGCATCGTGTTCATTGTTAGCACCGTTTTCATCCCGACGTTTGGTCTGAAACTGTGTGGATGGGTGGAGAAAGTTCACATGGTTTGAAGTCGGCAGAAACTCTGCTCACCCTGTGTCCACACCCCAACAGGATAATCTGTGTATCGCATACAAAGTCGGGTCTACGGGTGTCATCGATCTGAATTCCTAGGTGGTGCGTGAATGGTATGGCCACCGATGAACCTATTTTATTTTTCCCATGGTTGGCCCCGCGCTTTGCTCGTCGTTAACGTCTTCTAGCCGAGAAAGCTGTTCTGCAGACATAATCTCATGAGGTTTTTGACGACAAGGGCCGCAGGGCCAAAATATCTGAATGATGTTGGCGTGATGCTGAAGCACACCAGATATCGCTATGATGGCCTCATGTGTAAGAATATTGGTGCATAGTGATAACACACCCATTTCGAAGACAAATGCTTTGTATGGAGTTTTGAGGGGGGTTTTTTCTTAAACTTTTCAAGAAATGATCTAGAATTGGTCAGATGTGTTTGACTAAGTAAGATGACTTTTCAGTGGTGGAGGAGCAGTTTGACCACAGTGGAGCGTAAAGGTATTCCTGGTTTGTGATGTTAAGGGAGACCGCACATGGACATTTAGCAGTTGTGAAGGGCAAGGTGCTTGGCCTCCCGTACGCTTGCCAACTTCTTCGTAATAGGCTGCACAGTGATCTGGACAACTGCTGTCGGACCTCGCTGAAATGTTCTGTAGTCGTCTTGGTTCTCCAGCACTTTGTACGCGTTGTCCATGTACTGTTGCTTGTCAATGACGAAAAATTGGCTTGTCAGAGGTCTTGATGATGACATCTTTAGATGATGACGTCTGTCAGTGCCTTCGGAGACTGAATCTCCTGCGATGAGATATTCGGCTCAGTGCGTGAGTTCTTGGGTGCAGACAGCCTGTTATGTCTGTGTGTCCGCAGCTTGTCATCGTTAGCTGCATCTACACCTTCACGCAGATGAGTTAACCTGTTAAAATGCGTTGATATTAAAACACATACTTTTACCTGAAGTGTCCCCTTAATCATGCCACGTTCCGGATTCTAAATAAGCTTTTGAATTGTGTTTTATGGCTCACCATAAAATTATGCTGCAGGCAACGGTGTGTGGTATGATATTCAACCTGATTATCGGTGGAATATGAAGCCTGACGTTGTCGCCGCCAGGTGGTGTTGGACGAGTCGGAGCGGAAGCAGGTAGAGCACCTGATGACGGCGAACGCGCTGGACGACAAATGGATGGCATCGCAGCCGATGATGGTGCCGGACGTGGCCGGCGGCCTGGCGGGGGAGTCGGCGCCACGGCCGGCGCCGGCGGACCCGGGCGCTGCCGCCGCCGCCGCCATCCTGATGGAGCCGCGTGGCGTCAGTCCCCGCGGGCAGTGACGGGATGGCTCGAACGGAAATGGCAAGGAGACCCGGTCAGAGATGGTGGTGACATGTGGCTAAGCGTCTCCTGTTGTGTTCTGCGCGGTCCCCTGCCGGAGGAGGCTGTCTGAGGACCCTAAATGAACAAGCGAGGGTATCGGTCGTGTGGGGGCGGGGAATGAGGGCTCATGTGAAGAGCGGAGCTGAGTCTCACACCACCGCACCCGCCGTCGTGCTTTTTCACGAATAGTTCTACCTTAAGTATGGTGTAAATTATGGTGACAATGGTAAACGCTAAGCCGAGGCTACACGATTGTACGCACCGTTGTGTACTGCGATACTTTTGTTCGCAGGCCACGCCGGACTTTTGCCGCTTTATTAAGGAACTGCAGACGTTCGCGCGTGCACTACCACGATAGTTCGCGGAGCTGGACCGCAGCGTGGCGACACCTGGCCGTTGTTTTGATTGCCGCGCCGAACGTCGCAGTACAGCCCGGCCAGCCGGGGGGATGTAGGGTGCTGCAGACCGGCTGGTCGGTGCCGTCACTCTCCGCTCTCTGACTCACGCCATAGGGGCAGTCGCCACATGGGCTCCGCTCGCTGCCGACCACTTGTACTTGTGCGTCGTGTGGTGCGGAAATACACGTAGCCACTCCGCGTTAGTGCCGCTTCCGTGGTGGCGAACTGGGCCAGACGAAAGACATGCTTCAGCCGCATAAACTAAGTGTTAAGAATATTGTGACGATTTAAGAATGATACTGGAATGATATCGATTGTAATTATTTACGCTCACTATCCCCGTGTGTGGCATACGGGTTCTACGACGCACGCAGCTGTTGAGGCTTTATGGCGTTGCCTGCCGCTCACCCTGGCAGAAAGTACGGGCACCGCGGGAAATCGAACTCCGTGCCTCTGGTCTCCCAGACGCGCAGCATAACCGCCACACTACCTGGATCGTGGATCGTACGTTCGCACAGCGATAAGAAGCACAATTTATTACCATGGAGCTCCGTTGCCCGCACAGCTAGGCATTTGTGTACGAGCTTTTTCATCAGGCCTGTCTGTCATGGTATAATATCGCGGCAACCCCACGGCTATTTCCGATCAGGTGAAACGGTATAAAATGAAAACGTCTAACGCCTAATATTGGATAATAACGTGCTTGACGCGATGTCACTAGAACGCTGTCCGTTATAACGAGCTCCGAGCGCGCGTGCCGAAATGCATCCTTCACCGCGCCAGCTTGCGAAGCAGCGGTAATATTCTCAAGGCTCCGTCTCGTCTTAACTACTAGTTTGTCAGCACATGACTCACAAAACGCATCATTTAACGCCCGCTTTAAATGTGTGTTTAATCAAATGATTTTTGAGGCCACCGTACTCTGCAAGCCTGGAAGTCAAAATTATACCATATTTAATTCTTCATGTTCCGCAATCTTGGGCCCACGAAGATGGACCACGCCCGACTTACAGGCTACATTTTCGAACTCGCTGCTTGGTAACTGCGAGTCAAAGAGCTGCTGGAAAATATAACTAGACGGTCTGCACGCCGGTGAGGTCAGCGATTTAGTTAGCCATCAGCTACGATTTTAATAAAACGCCTGAGGTGGGCAGTGCGGCACGAGAACATCGAATCATGTATCTGTTTCATACCACGTGGCACATAAGGTCAAATGACGGAGAGCTTCATGCAACTCACGTTGCTGACTGATTTGTGGTATGCATTAGAAACGTAGCGCACGAACTAGCGTCCTACATTGCTCAAATGTTGCCGAACACTTCCGGATTTTAGCTATCAGACTTTTAACGCCGTCAAGAAATCATGACCTCTCTAGATCTAGGTGGAAGGTAAAATTCATTGTCAGACAACCCATATCGCCTAATGAAAGTTTAACATTAGCGGGCAGTGCGCTTGGATGCGCACGCTTACGCGGTTAAGAATGTTTCGATGCTTGAAAATCCAAGATCGGCGGGTCAGTTGTCGAATTGGGCTCCCGTCATTTTACCTTGAGTTTAGCATTGAAGCTGGATCTTGATATGTCAGAACGTTTGCAGCGATGCTAGTTTATGTGCTGAGAAAAGTTACGATGCTCGAAGGGAATGTTTCACATGTAAGGCTTTAAGTGGAAGCGACTACTCTAAATACCAAAATCCCTGTACGCGTCAAGAAACGTCTGTATGACGCCGAGGCTCTGCCAAACTAGCTGTGCAGAATCTCCAGCCTAGCACTCACTCGTAGCACCTTATTTAAATGGGAAGGCCGTGGGGCCGTGGTGGTGCTCAGGTGTTGCCGTGCCCGGTTATGGCGTGCTTAAAGAAAGTGTTCCACATTTGAAGGCATTAAAGCAGTCATTAGGCATGGTGGTATAAGCTCACTTATTACTATTGGTGCCTTCTATTTCGTAAATATGCTGCTCAATGTGTCATTGGTTGATTACGTCATCATACAATGCACAACATTCATTGAGAACCAACTAACGGCCGTTGTATCTGAAAACCGTGTTCACGAACGCCAGACATGAACGATTCGACGATTATCTTTTTCTTGGATTTGATCGCCGCATGATCAATGGAATGGCAAAATTTAAATAGCGTTATTATTGCGCCATGGATGCCTGGGTGACCTTGAAATAGTCTGTACATCTTCGCGTGTAGCTCAGAAACCAGGGGGGAGGGGGTTTAGGCCTTTAGAAGAGCATCTCTGAGAATTGCATAGGACGATCTCCAAGATGGCTATTTCCGCTCAAAACCTCTTACAAATGTGGAGCACTCCCGCTGAGTCATTCGGCTGCAGGTCTTACGTAAAAGCTAGCAGGGATGCCAACCTCTTGTATTATGCAACACAAAACGTGATTCCTGATTGAAGATACGGCCCCGTTATCCTCTTTTCGATGAAGCAGGCTTCATCCCACACCCCCACAACGTCCCGCTTGACCGCGGCAGGCGGCACGCGCCGGGCACGAGTGGACCGAGGGGGGGGGGGCGGCCGTCAGGGGAAGAGGGAGGTAGAGGGAGGTAGAGGGCGCTCGTCACTTCAGAAAAGGCCACTGTGCCTGTGTCGCTGCATGCCATCCCATGGTCCAAGGACACTTTTTGCAGTGCCAGATAGTCTCAGCGGTCTGTGAGGTGAAGCTTCTCGTTGGCCACCTGCTGCAGTTAAGCCGTATTCCGCAGCCCTGGCCATTTTGGCCGGTAGACCAGCGGATAAACGGGGCCAGCCATGAAAATCAACATAGCGGCGGCGCGACGCTGCCGTTGGCTGCACGCCGGTGCGCGTGGCGCTCCTCTCCCGGGCTCGCGGGCAGCCACGCAGCATGGGATGCCGACCGGCACTGCTGGAGCTGTGCCAGCGTCGCGTGAAGGCGTCTGTGGTGTCACCCAGTCCGGATCAGCCAGTGAGCGAGCGCCTATGAGCACGGCAGACTGAGTCTATGCACGCCGCACCCTGGCGCCCACCCCCGCCTGTCCGATGGGGCCGTTTCAGACGGTCCCGGGGCGCCCGAGATCGGGCTGCCCCGCCGGTTCCTCAAGAGCAGACACCGGCGCGAACACACCTCACCAGCTTTATTTAGCATTTATCTAGAATGGTATTTGAGGAATTCCGCGTCAGCGACATTACAACACGCAACTTTTAGATGACTGCGACTGATGGAATGCATCCATTGTATTATTGCCGCAGACAAAAACAAGGTTAACCACTCAACTTACTTTAGAACGGCCAATTCACCGCATGAATGAAATATGAGTATTTTGAAGGCAAGGGAACTGGCGCACACGTCACCACTACAAAACATGGGACCGCAATATTGTGCACTTTGTCTAAAGCCAGCACAACACACTGATTCGCAAAAACACAACAGGAAGCAATCCCGAAAATTTGCAACTTGCGATAGTTGCTCTTTTACTACACAAGCAACACCATGGACAATGACATAGTTCAAGAAAGAACTACTGGCAGAAGAATGACAACGAAGTACACCAGAAATGCAAGTTGCAGCTTGCGCACATCCAACACAACACACGGGTCCTGCCACGGGGCTCAATATCTTCACAGGAAACGATAATCTAACAATGAAAGCATTAATATGCTAGTCAATGAAAGCCTTACTGAAAGTGTTGATGTGCGAGTGTTAATGTTGATAGACTTGTCTGGTGCCAAAGGAGAGGTGAGTGCGTGGTGGATAGGGGCGGAGGCGGTACATGAAACGGTAGGTGGAAAAAGTCATGAGCTCTACCGGTCTTGCCGCGGGAGAGAGCGGCAAAACCGAAAGCGAGAGAGGTCCAGTACACGGACTAAACACCGAGCGCGTGAGGCTCCTAACACGCGATCGGGTGGAGGGTCGAATTGATCCCCCCCAAAGGTTTTTCCAGAATGGTTTTCGTAAGAAGCGGCGTAGCCGCGCCAAATTTTGCATAGCTGTAGACAATTAAATAGCTGATCGTTTGACATCAAAAATTTAGATGTACCTTTTAAGGTCGCTGACCTGTGGCAGGTCAAAGTCAGGCCATGGTTTCAGCGAAGGCAATTTCTAGGGAATCGTCCAATCTGATACAATAACGGAGTGTTTGACGAAGCCATACATTTCCGAGATGCTTTCTTGGACACCACAAATATTGAATGAGCGAAATACGTTGACCTAAGGTCAGGTATGAAGGTCAAACCAAGGTCACAACCAAACTGATTTATTATTATAGGGCTTGCTGTATGGGATAGCTTGTGGTGCTCATTTCGAATTTATTGACAGCAGAAACCGCATTATACATCTTCCACTTACTTCTAAGAGGTCAAAAAAGGTCATTGACCTAAGATGACCTGGTTGGACAATTTGTTTTAGGAACTTACTGCCTAGCGTAATTTTTGTCGTTTATTCAAATGCAAAACTCAGAGCAGTCTTGTATGATTTTGGTCACCATGACCTTTTAAA